GGATCCCCCTTGTCTACGTGTTTGTTTGACCCCCCCCCCCAAAAAAGAACTCTAGCAGATTAGTAACGCAGGATTTCCCTTTACAGAAACCATGTTGACTTTCCTCCAACAAATTATATTCATCCGTGTGTCTGACAATTTGATTCTTTACTATAGTTTCAACTAATTTGCCCAGTAGCAAGCCAGTCTGTAATTGCCACGACCACCTCTAAAGCCCTTTTTAAATATTGGTGTCACATTAGCTATCTTTCAATCACTAGGTACAGAAGCCGATTTAAAGGCTAGGTTACAAGCGGCAGTTAATAGTTCAGCAATTTCCCATTTGAGTTCTTTCAGAACTCTTGGGTGAATGCCATCTGGTCCCGGTGACTTCTTACTGTTTATCAGTTTGTTCCAAAACCTCCTCTAATGACACTCAATATGGGACAATTCCTCAGATTTGTCACGAAGGGTATGTCTAGACTACATCCTTGTGTCGTCAGAGGGATGTGAATTAGACATACCGAAATTGCTAATGAAGCGGGGATTTACAAGGCATAAGGGATCTGTCGCCAAAGCCTTTAGTGAACGATAGAACCGTGGCTAGACTGCCGCTTTTCGTCGCCAAAGCTCCGTGGCGACAAAAAGCGGTGGCCATTTTTATGCTAATGAAGTGCGGGAGATTTAAATCCCTGCTTCATTAGCAATTTTGTTATGTCTAATTTACATCCCTCTGTCAGAGGGATGTAATCTAGACATACCCATAAAAAGAATGGCTCAGGCTTGGGAATTTTCCCAATATCCTCAGCGGTGAAGACTGAAGCAAAGAATTAATTTGACTTCTCTGCAATGTCTTTATCATTCCCGAGTGCTCCTTTAGTGTCTCGATTGTTCAAGGGCTCCATTGGCTGTTTAGCTGGCTTCCTGCTTCTGATGCACTTAAAAAGCATTTTGCTATTACTTTTTGAGTTTTTGGCTAGCTGCTTTTCAAACTCCTTTTTGGCTTCTCTTATTATATTTTTACACTTTGACAAAGTTTATGGTTCTTTCTATTTTCCTCACTAGGATTTAACTTCCGCTTTTTAAACTTTGCCTTTTTATCTCTCGCTGCTTCTTTTACTTGGTTGTTAAGCCACAGTGGCACTTTTTTGGTTCTTTTACTGTGTTTTTTAATTTGGGGGTATCATTCAAGTTGGGCCTCTATTATGGTGTCTTTGAAATGTTTCCATGCAGCTTGCAGGGATTTTACTTTTGTCACTACCTTTTAATTTCTGTTTAACTAACTTCCTCATTTTTGCATAGTTCCTCTTTCTGAAATTAAATGCCACAGTATTGGACTGCTGAGGTGTTTTTCCCACCACAGGGATATTACATTTTATTATATTCACTATTTCCAAGCGGTCCAGTTATATTTACCTCTTGGACCAGATCCTGTGCTGCACTTAGGACTAAATCAAGAATAGCCTCTCTCCTTGTGGGTTCCAGAACCAGCTGCTCCAAGAAGCAGTCATTTAAGCTATCAAGCAATTTTATCTCTGCATCCCATTGTGAGGAAATTCCATCAACTACTCGACTAGTAAATTACTTGATATTTAGCATCCTTATTTCAGCTACTCCATTGACATAGCTGAAGGTGTGTTGCTTGCGTTAGCCCTGCTGTGTAGACCTACCCTAACTGTGCTGTGCTAAGCAAGCCTAGGCATTTATCGCCTCTGAATGTTTTCTTGGGATTGAATCCAAAAGCCAGCCAGGTGTAAGGACTTTGGCTAGGGTAATCTTTGTGCTTAGGTAGTAGTTCTGCTCTGAGGTAGAGGGTAGATAATAGCTTGCAACATTCTTTACAGTTGATAAAGCAAACACTGTCTACTACTAAAGAAATCACTTGCAGAGGATTTGAAAATTCCACAGGCCCCCATCTTCGCCATCTTCAGTCAGGCACAAGCAGTTCCTCTCCATAGTCTCTTGCAGCCTCATAAAGCTACTTGTCCATGTGCCTGGGGTAAGGGGGTGGGGTCTTGTTTAGGTGAGCATTGAAAACAGTAGGTCTCCATCATGTGGGGAAGTGGATTTTGTGCCTTTGCTTGTGTGGGAAATTGCCTGTCAAGTGAGAGTTTGTGCTACATTTATAATTCCTGTTTCTGCTCTGACTTGGTTGGTTTGGCCCAGTTGGCTTTGTCCAGTGCGCTGGGGCAGTGATCGCCTCAGAAAAGTAGAAGGTTTGGTTTTTACACGCTGTAAGCCCATGAGGAAATAAGTGTAACTCATCTGCACCCTCAGACAGGAATCCTTATTGTACGTCTGGCTGACAACTAACCCTGCACAGCACCCGACGTGTGTGAGCTTAGGCCAAGCTCTGTCAAGACCTACTAATGTCTTGTGAGTGAATAACATAGCTGGAGTTATTTCAGGGCCTTCACTGTATCAGGAGATGTGCTCTCCCATGGACTTACCTTCTCTTTCTGGGGAAGCCCCAGCCCTGAATATGTATGGGTCAGCTGATTAGCAGACCGCCCACAGCTGGCAGCATGTTATCTGCACATTTGTGCTTGCCTTGGTGCACACGACAAAATTTATTCTGCACGTGGATGGAAACAATTAGAGGGAACATTGATCCCTTCCACAGTCTTGCCTTGATTTTAGAAGATGCTCTTATCCACTAGGGATGCTAGACAGCATGTAAGCTGATTTCCATGTAGCTGACTCAAATTTTGTCAGGTACACAATTAACTGCTGTGGCTCTGCATTGAAAGGAGCTTGGGAGCTGCCGTGCAGGCAAGCTGGCTCGGTCCCAGCAGCTACCACTGCTGTGGTTCTGCATGTAAAGGCTTTTGAGGGCAGGCAGGCAGCCCGGCTCGCGCTGGCTCCCAAAAGACTTTACGTGCAGAGCTGCAACGTGAGTAGCTGCTGGGCTGGGACTGAGCCTTTCTGCCAGCCATCCTGCAAAAACTGTACTTGTAAAGCGGAGTCGTGTGTAGCCGGTAGTGTTAACTGATAAGCATCCACCTGTTGGTTACTCATTTAACTGGATACACTATTGCATCCTATGATCCACCCATCTTCACTGGCTCCATTCCTACCATCTCTGTCCCTCCTTTTCTGGGAAGCCGCCTACCCCCATGTGCTGCTGCCTCTGTATCATAGGGATCCTGCTTAACAGCTAGCTCCCTGCAAACACCAGCTCCCTCCTGTACACCCTCCCCCCCGTGTTGCTGCCTATTTTTTTGTGGGGGGGGGGGGGGAAGGAGGGGTTTAATAGCTGGCTTCCCCCTGTGCACTGGCTCCCACAGAGCCGCCTCACCCCTCCATGTGTAACCGCTGAAAATGTCAGCATTTAGATATTTACCAAAAGAAATGCATTTTAACATCCCTACTAGTGATACTTCAGGTACTTAATGACTCAGAACTCAAACCAATAGCCTACGAATGGTCATGTGTGTCCTAGAAGCCCAAACTATGGTTGGTCCTGGAAGGATGTGTGACCATGCTGCCTGCTACTGGAATCCATCTTCAATCTAGTAATTTTCCATGGGGTTGAGGGTGCAGACCCAAAGATTCTGCCCTGGGGGGGAAGTCTATTTAAGCAATGGGAAGCCATCAGTGCTCTGTCTTCAGCATAGGCCAGGCAGTTTCAAAGCCAGCTAAGAAGCTACAAAGAACGCTGAAGAAACTAAAGACCCAAGCCAGAGTAAAGATCATAGTAGCTTACTCTGATCTGACTGCTTTCGCTTACCCCCACTTACTCCTCCTTTTGTACTTAATACAAACATGGCTGACTTGGGCATTCAAACTCTGGGAGGGAAGGGGAGGGACACGGAGGGGTGCAAATCTGCTGATTCCCTGTGCTCCAGAAGTGCTGGAAGTTTGGGGAGGAGGGGTTAAGCACAAGGCTTCCAGCCTGCGAGAGGCATGTGGGGTACAGGGGAGGGCATGGGCCACCCTGTTATGGGCTGCAGCTTGCCCGCCACTGCTCTGGTAGCATCCCAGATACTGAAGTAAGGCTGCCTGGTCTGTAGTTCCCCAGCTCCTCCTTTCCCTCCTTTTGAAAGACGGGCCCTGCATTAACCTTCTCCGGCCCTCTGGGACCTCACCTGTCATCCGTGAGTTGGCAGATATTAGTGCCAGTGGCTCCCAGATTCCTGCAGCTTCCCAGGAAGAATTTCATCAGGCTCCACTGACGTGAATTCAGTCACATTCGTCAGAAGGTGTCTGACCTGTCCTTGAA